ATACGCCAGAACGGCTTCGCATGGATTCATAACTCGCTTGTCAATGTAACGAATCTCTCTTAGAGACAATCCCAGTTCTTCTGCCACCAACTTCCATTCCTCTCCTCCTACAAAGGAAATCGAGACATCAGGCTTTCATATGAAACGGGATTCACAACAGCCAAATCATATAATCAGTACTTGACTCTAATTAATCCTTTCAAGGTAATTTTCAGCGACTTGTCCTCAAAAAAACTCTCCCTTTGAAATCTAATGCTTCTTCCTTTATACCCCGAGGGGTATTCAACAAAATCTTATACGGGGAGACTCTGCCCCGAGATCCAACCCCTCACCCTTTTTCACAGTCATAAAATGCATCTTTTGGGCCTCTTTACCAACCAAAATGACAGCAACAGCAACAAGTGAATTCCCTACCCTTTCATAAACCTGAAGCCTGAAAAGGTTCCTCTTTCGGGCAGAGCCTCCCCGTATACTCCGTATAGGCCATTAAAGAGAGTGCCACTGCCCCGGGCTTTATGCGCAGGGTGCACGTGGTATATGAAGTCTGTCAATGGTGCAATTTTTATGAAACGTCTGAAATTCGACATAAGACTCAGCGTGAAAAAGCCTTTTATGTGCTTTTCACCAATGAGAACATTGGCAGCTGTATTTACAATGAGCAAAATTATTAATTAATTGAGTTCTTATAAAGTCTGAAATTTGTAAATCTACATTCATTTAAGTAATGAAAAAGTTATGGTGAAAGTTATCTCTCTGTCTTAAATCTTAACTGTCCATAACAATCAAGTCCCCTAATTGAGATATCAATCAGGCTGCCTTAACCATCCGCATCAATAATTCTGAGATTTGAACGACTCAGCAGCTGCGAAGCATAATTAAGCTTACCGCTTAACTCAAGAGTGAGATTAGTCATCTGGCGAACGGGAATATTGCCAATATCAAGGTGCTCAGGCAACAAAGGACCTAAAATGGTGAATATATATATATATTAAATAGTCATAATGGGCAACCGTGGGCTAGATGGGGTGGCTTACTGTATGGTGAAAAGGTATGAGACAAAGAGGAAGATTATGTAACAAGTGCACTGCAAGAAAATATTACATGTATACTGCCTTATTTATCGATATTTGACGGGAACAAACTCACCTGTAGTTCCAGCTGGTGCAATATCTCTCAGATGTTTCACTACATCAAGCCTGTTAGACTGTTTTGCTTTATTTGCCAGGCAACGGATCAATCGTTTGGTCCCAGGGTCTGGCTGTTCAAGTGAATCCTGATTTAGTTGCAAAGAGTCTCTCAATTGAAGTACAACCTCTCTAGAGTCACACGGCTGCGACATAATTGTTTCTATGGCCTTGCTTGGAAGAGCAATCACTTTTTCATCATTTCCTGCGAAAGAAACTAACTTTAACAACACTAGTACCATACTAAGCAATAATACCAACCTCATATTCTGCTCACAGGTTTCAGCGTTGTTTTTTTCTTTTTTGAGCCACCAGAGTCCTTGTCTAGTTGACGTCTAATCATTTAGAAAGCTTTTGTAATATAGACGAATTATGTTCCCCCACAACTTTCAGGGGAGGACTGGAAGTGACGAAATGGTCTCCAAGTCGAGAACGAGCGAAGATATTCCACACTGATGAGGTGTCATAACCAAGATCTGGGTGGTGCACGTGCTTGTGATTGGATGAAAATTTGCGTCAGCCAATGAACATTACTACCCAGATCTGGGTAGAGACACGTCATCAGTAAGGAATATCTTCCTTCTTTCCTCAGACGTCATTTCGCAGGGAACACGCAAAAACGTCGGCTGTTTTCTTAGGCTAGTACTACCCTAGCACAATTTTTACATTATCTAGTCACTCTAAAGTTACAGTCCTACCTCCCCCAGAAGCTGGACGTCTTTCTTCACTTTCGTCAGTTGGAATCTGTAATAAACAATGACGGAAGGGATACTCAAAGGCTATTTCAATCTACTGTGTCAGCAATTCTTTGTACCAAAGTTACTTTTGGAAAAAGAGTATTTAAAGCCATTAAACGAAACCGCTAACGGATAATTTAAGGGTCGCTTTAGCAAACTGAAGTATCAAGAATGTCTTCAGCAACATTCTTTGTGATGTTTAGACACTTTAAAAATCGACTGGTGAGTCGGGTCTGCTTTCAGTAGTTCTGTAAAAGATCTAACAGGTTCATGAGAAGCGGTAAATAACGACATGGTAGTGAAAGTGTATTCACCTGTTCATCTAAGGGATCAAACCAGGGCGCAAATTGTTTGACGTACACTTTGTCACTTTGGGCGGCTGCACACTTACGACATCTGATGAACTGATTGGCACTACGTAAATCAGACTCAGACCAGAAGTGTAGACATTCCTCTTGCTCGCAACACTGCTTGTGGTGGGTGCAGCAGTAATTAACCTTACATTCTTGGCAACAGACGGGGCAGATTACACCAAGTTCGTACATCATATTCTTCAACCAACAAAATTCTTTTCGCATGCACTCAAGCATCAATCCCAGTTGTCGGCGCACGGCACGAGCACAGGCCACTTCAAATGCACCATAGTTGATATCTGCAGAAAGGTTCAACTTGGATTGCAAACATTCTGCTGGGTTAGCACTGAGATTTCCTCTGTGAACCACAACTTCAATACACGATGAATGACACAGAAGGATTACAGAGCAGTCGTCATCCGCAGACGTATAAAATCGCGCAAAATCAGCATACAACTGGGGATTCTCTGCACTCCAAAACTCGTCTTGGCCCCACTGAAAAAATTGCAACACGAGTCGGGGAAAGAATCCTGGAGGAACCTGACCCGATTGAAACCTGAGGAAGAGAGAAGGAATTTGTGCAGAAGCAACCAGCTTCATGATCTCCTTTGGTGGATGTGACATCAACATGGATGGCACGAGGTACTGTTTGCCACTTGAAGCATTCGAACAAGGCCATGGACAGAGCAGGCTGAACCTTTCCATGATAGCAAGAAGACTAGCGGAGGTTTCTTTCTGGCTTAATAAAGGACCCCACACGTGCTCCAAAAGTTTTTCGCCAAGAATGCCTGTTGACTCCAGCTGCAACCACAGTTCTTTAAATTTACTTTCTTCTTGGTCATACGGCTTAACTGTTATCACCGTTTTGAAGACATCAACTAACCACTGAGGGTCCAAGACGACAAAATTACTCAACGCTGGGGTGTCGTCAAAGTGAACCAAAATCCTCTGGTCATGTAGAAAGTTCAACAATGTGAGAAATTCTTGATCATCATCAATTTTGCACACTTCAAATGCAATTTCTTTTGCCACTGGGAGAGAAATCCATTTATGACCATCTCGTACAGTACCTTGAAGAGCCCTCTCATATTTCAACCACTTGATTGGGATTGCTTTTTTCATCTGAGGTAGCTCCTTAGCAACGGCAAGTAATTCTTCTCGCAATCGTGTAACTTCTGAGCATTCAGATCCAAGTCCTGCAGACTTGGTGTTGTCCACCACAAACACATCCTCATATATGTGGTTCCTGAAGCGTTTGGTCTGTAGACTGCCAAATACCTCACGGGCGAGAGCGAACGGATCTGCTCCTCTGTGAGGTTCATCAGCGTGAGTGCAGACTAGGAACACGGGAGGAACCTTCACTTGAATATGGTCCAACCTTACAAACTGCTCTTCCGTTTCCGCGTCTAGGGAAGCTACCGATGTCATCCAAAAATTGAGATAGTCCAGATTGATTTTCGTGCCATAACTGTCTAAAATTTTCTTGTACAGCCCCTGCTTCACAACTGGCTTAGCTATTTCGTATGGATCCCGGCTAAGGTCAAAAACCAAAAGATATATTGCTCTTGCAGTGATAAAAAGTGGATGCGTGGTATAGTAGACACTTTGTCCACCAAAATCCCATAAAATGGTATAAATTTCTTCATCATCTTGCGCGTTTTCATCCTCTTTTAATAACTTTTTAATCAATGCTGCGACCTCACCTGGTATCCTGGGCGACTCGATAGCGACATGTTCTTCCTTTTTCAGAGTGGGATCAGAGGAGATTTTAGGAATGACTTCTGGATCGCCTAGCTCCTCAGGAGGCAACTGATGTGAGTCATTAGAGACAGAAACTGCTGAAGATCCCGATTGTTCCATTTTTATTTTTTCCACTGCAAAACCGCTCTGCTCTTCCTTTAAATCGTCAGCAACCAAACGAGCCGCGTGTTGCTCAAAGGAAATGGCTTTTATAGCACCTGTGTTATCTCCTACCTTCCAAATCTCAGTTGAGACTTTAATATGTGAGGGGTCAACATCTACCCCTATGGTGCTGTCTTCATCGGGATTAAAAGGTTTTCCTGTCAGTGACTTTTTTAGGCTGGTTTTTCCTGAGTGATCTTGTCCAATCAACATTATTGGAACCCTCTTGACATATGCCTTCCCTTCAGTGAGGGCTTTGTTGTAAGCTTCCACAGCCAAGCGTCCTCGTGATCTTATCTCTAAAGGAAGTTCTGGATGGAGAAACATACAAGATTATACTTTATTGAAGTCGCAACTAGAAAAGATGCAATGAATATTTCCTAACGTTTTTATTTTGAACAATGGTAGGCAACTGGTTTCTAAATTAAACGGCTAATGTTAACCAACGTATGGTAGTCTCTAAAGGCCTCTACAAGGCGGACGGGATTCGTTCGAGCAACACAGAGAGCGCATTGCATCGGCGTACTACAACTTTTAGGATAATGAATTTATTTAATCGTATATCTTTTTTAAAACATCTCGAAGAACACTTTAGCCGTTTCTTTTACACTCATATCAGTTATTGTGGCTTAACGTATTTTATTTCAAACGAACAAAATGTCACAACCTATAGGTCAGCAGATATGAAAACCAATGGCTCTGATGGAGCCTGGTCGTACCTATTACGTAAACGGAACTTACTAAAAATTAGTCCACAAGGAAAGAAGTCTTAGTGTGTTGATTATAAAGACATTGGTTACATGAATAAGCATATTATACAGCTTGTGTCCAAAGCCAGCCAACTTATTGGTTTCTAAAGGAGCAACTGCTCCACAATCTCAAACATCAATCACTTAATTACTGGTTAGAGAACCTCCATTTGCTCGTCCTTTTTCAAGTTTAAAGCTGCGTGGTAGTAAAGTAGAGATGAAATTATTCCCTTTTCGAGGTGGAATCATTATTATAGGGTGGAATAAATTAACGTTGACTTTTTTCATTCATTTTTTTGTCCTTTTTTATTGTCTTCCTTCCTTCTCCTCCACCACTGCTGCATGTTTATTGCCTCCCTCCATATCGCCAATGTGTGGTAGGGTTAGCAGCAATGGGTGAAAAATGATTGGACAAAATGGTTCATTCATGTCATTTATGACGTTGTTGACAATTATTTATTCCACCTAAATTTAATGAGATTTCACCTCACAAAGGGGATAATTCCATTCTTGCTATACTAGTTATAGCGATTGGTACAATTGGTGAATGGGTGATATTTCAGTGTGATAATATGAGTTTGCGGTTAATTATTTAGGAGCTGTAACCAGTTGATTATGTAAGAGCTGTAACCAACGTGGTCGTAACACAAAGTTCAATTTCATCATGTATTAAAGGAGATGACACTCAATTGTTTCTGTTTTTTGAATCATCCTCTCTCCAATCAGGCCAAAAAGTAATCGGTCCAAATTATTCAATCTTGCATGAAAGACATTGATGAATGAATGACTATTGACAAACTGAAGCTGCATGAACAAAAGCAGGACCGAACTTATTGTTATAGGATCTCAACACCGACCTAAAACAGAGATAGAAGTCTTGACACTCGGTTCTCGTGATGCCAGCTGTGATGTCTACAGTTTGAATGCAGCTCGAAATATCTTTGATGAAAAGTTTAGGTTTGAAATCAGTAAATAGCAGGCATTTGCAAGACGTCATTTTTTCACATTCGACAAATTGCCCTATTCGAAGATTTTTGTCTGACGAAAATGTAGTAAACACTTGTGCATACGTTTGTCACCTGTAGACTTCAGTGATAATTGTAATTCATTAAACCTTATCCAAAACTTCAAAGAGTCCAAAATTGTGCTGCACGACTCATGAAAGGGAGAAAATATGACCACATCACCCCAATATTACGAGAACTTCACCTGGCTCCCGGTTAACGAACGTATTATCTTCAAACTTCTGCTTCAGTTTCACCTATAAAGCTTTACATCAGGCCCTACTAACTATTTACCCCCCGACACGCAACTTTCAAACCTACTTGTTACACCTTTCTCTAATTTGAAGACATATGGCGATCGTGCGTTCTCAGTCTGTGCCCTTTGAATTAAAAAACTCCCGTTTGGTCGATGTCTTTAAGAATAAGTTGAAGCATTTCTTTTTAACAGAACATTGTGGTTATAAATATCTACTTATGTTTGTTTGTTATTTTGTTTTTCAAGTAAACTTTTATTGCCCTTTTTTTATACTTGATGTTTAATACTTGTAAATTTGAAAGTTTATTTTGTAATTTTTATTTCTTGTGCATATAAAGCGCCTTAGAGCTATAAGGATTTTGGCGCTGTAGAAATTGAAATTGTAATAATTATTGTGATTGTTTAAACAGCGGCACCCAATGGCGGTTTCCTGCTAAATACTTTGAAAACACTTTTTAGGCCATCCAGAGTACTTTTAGATCTCCAGAAATGCATCCTAAGAAGCCCTATAAAATTTGTATCTGTTCTGTCACCCTACGACAACTTGAGTCTTTTCGAAATTACTTGAGTATTATTATTATTATTACTTTGCCGAAAATTTTAGAAGTAATTTGACGTATTACGAAAGTGGGACATTTTCTGATTCCTCTCTCCATACATTTTTGAATCCGAAAATTTTACCTTTCCTTTTTGCACGAAAACTAGCCTAACTTGGGAAGTGAAATGTGAAAATTAAACTCCAGAAAATCGTAGCGAATTTATCAGATAAGCTTTGAAAATTGTACATGAATGGAACGCTCATCTAGAACTTTTTAGCCCTCCTCAGGTAATAGAAAATTCTAAGCAATATTTACTATTCCGAACAGTTATTTTACAGAAAACACTCTTTGGTTGCCCCTATTTAAATCCCCCCAAACGACTTTAACAGCTGTTTTGATCAATAAGCCTTTTTGACGTTTTTGTTGCCATTCAGTGCTGCTGAGGTTACAAAAGGATGCGTCTAAAGCGTCAAGGGCAGTGCAAAGACCCAACTTGTATTCAGTGGTACTGAGTTCCAAATCGACAGCAGTCAAGAAACATAAAAAAGTTTCAGTTTTTGTAAAGTTGTCTGATGCCGGGGACTAATTTTGTTTTTTCTTTGTTAAAAGGTGTTTTAAAATTTCCATCCTTTCTTCACATAATTAACAAGAACGAGTTGGTTAACAATTAAGTATTATACATACCGACTGTGTCTGGGATATGCTCCAGAATTACTTGAATAGCATGCTTGCATTCAATCCTCTCTAGTAATTCGGTAAAGTTAATCAACGTCATGCTACGAGACCGTTCCAAAAGCCACTGCAACACTTGCTTTGTTGGACTAATAGTTTGCACTATTGCACGCTCATCAAATTTTTGATACACGTTAAACGGGATTTTAAGATGACGGGCTAACCTGCGCCACTCTTGAATCCACGGAGGGCAGTTCGTATTGAGTGTGTCAGTCACCACTTTATATAATATCGAACGCAGATCTCTTATTAGCCTTTCATCTGCGAGAAAAAAATATTGAATGAAAGTTCTAAAGTACTAGTATTGCAACCTACTTATACTCTTGGAGAAGTAAAAAGTGTAAATAAATATCCGGGGGTACTCCCTTATATAAGTTATATAGGTATGTGCCGCCCCAAAGTGTAGGGTTTTTGGGCCTTTTTGGTCTAAAAACGAGTATACACTTCGCTCATTTTGGTCTGGAATCGGGTATGGTTTTCGAGGGAACTTTGGGATGGGGGAGCATATGAACAACTTTATTGTTTCAAGTCCAAATGAATAAAAACGAAATAGAAATATGCGAATTCCAAATGCATTTGAAGAATCTCTTTGTTTCGCTCTAATCTAAGTAATTATAACATAATTTCTGCCTGAAGGCCAGGTCTGAAAACGGGTATGGATTGAAAAGGTCTGGTCTGAAAGCGGGTGTGGAAAATGACATTTTTTGGTCTTAAACAGGGTCAGGATTTAAAGAGCCGGGCGGCACACCCCCACCAAGAATTTCCAGGAGTACCCCCCCCCCCCCCCCCCCCCCGGGAAACACCCAAAAAAATCTCTTTGGGGATTTCCCCAAACACCACTTCCCGTCCCCCACACTACCGTGTTTTACGTGAAATAAAATATCATATATTTTGGTGTTATCATTCATTGACGGACAAAGAGATCGGCGGAGAAAGGGTAGGCCGGGGCGGAAAACGGGTATGAATTGAAAAGGTCGGGTCTGAAGGGGGGGGTGGAAAATGCCTTTTTTTGGCCTTAAACAGGGCCAGGATTAAAAGAGCCGGGCGGCCCCCCCCCACCAAGAATTTCCAGGGGTCCCCCCTCCCCCCCCCCCCAGGGGATAACTATACAGAAGTTTCTTGGTGGATTCGGTACAACCACATGTCCCGTTACACCTAGATCAAGGTTATTCGATAGCATAAACTTGAATAGTTTCTGTTGTTAACTATCTTACTCTTGTAGGGGGACTGGGGCTAACCATCATGGTGGGAAGACGCTACTTTTAAGCTCGTCAAACAACGATGGCGATAGTGGTGTCGTGTAGTAATAGAAGTATGTCTGGTTATGCTCTTTGGCAAGAGAAGTTAATGAGTAGAAGTTTGTCTCAAGATACGTCAAACCGCCTTCTTACGACTTGAAGTATGCCAAATGTGAAGGTGCTTATAAGAAGGCGAAGGAATTGAACATTGAAAAGGTTTATATTAGAGGTAAAAAATTATTCGTAAATAGTGATAGCTACTTTTCTTTTAATCTGCCAGATCATCTTTTGTCAAATAAGAAACCCATCAATCAGCACTGATACGGTTGAGTAAGCCATCGTAATTTTTTTTTTACAGTGCAATTTCTGTTTAAAGATAAGTTCTTTTGCGGGTATACTCCCTCAATTGCCGATATTTTAGCTTAGCCACATGTAAAAGAATTTTTTTTCGTGGCACAAATTGCCACTTGTTCTTTTGTTCTTTTTTACCAACAAGTCCGAAGTGTCACGGGTCTAAAGTAAGATTTAAATCTTAAGACCTTTTAGATCATAATAAGTGTTAAATTGTTCGTTCGATTTTCGTGTCCTTGTTAGTAATAATAGTTATGTTTTGCACTGAGCTTGTGAGCATTTTTTGGTTACGTTTTCTTTGATGGTATGACTGTTTTGCATATTATGAAGTCTATTATTTTCCAGGTGCCAGTTTTTGTACCTTTTAGGTGACTAAACCGTCCAAAAAAATAATCCTGGCAGCCGGATTACATAAGCGTATTGAGCTTCTAAATATTAAACAAATAACCTATAATGATTCTTTGATTTGCCACACCATATAATTTTGTTTTCGTTACTACCCTTCTTACCGCTTAATGTGTGTTTAATGTGATAAGTGATAACTGGTATTAGTAAGGATTATAGTCTGTAATTTGGGAAATAATCTTATTTTTATTAGTTTTATGTAAATCATTTTAGTGTCCATAATTAGCTAATGTATCTAATTAAATACTCTGACACTTAAAGTTCATTCATTCATTCATTCTGCTTCTTTCTTTCTTGAGTATAGTTGAGGTGTATAATTATTGTAGTAGAGTTAATGTGTTTAAGTTCCTTGTAAAAAAAATTTTGGTATAAACATCAATAAAAGACAAAAAAATCTTACACTTGTAATACATCCCAAAAGATTATTTTTCCCCTGACAAAAGTCGCGATCTTCACTCTTCATTCTCTCGTAATCAGATGCGACAATGACTGTTAAACCAGGCGCCGATTCAGGAATTTTTTGTTGAGGCTTTTCAAAACTTGTACTCGCCGTTAAAACGTTTCTACAGCCTGTTAACAGCTAACTAGTAATAGCTGACTCCACAGCTACTCCCGCTCTGTGTGTACACCAATTTCGATATATTAAAACATTCATATGGACGATTTTCACACGTATCCCAAAAGTGAGATTAAAAAAAAAGAAAAAGTGCAATACGCGATTTACGCAGCCTTTATCAAAACACTCTCTCGAACCCTCCTTTTCGAGATTTTTAAAAGCGACAAGGAAAAATTGGTTGATGTTCGATTACCAAGTTAATGTATGCACTATTGTGTCATTCTATTGTGTGGAGTTTACACTAGAGAGGAGAAGTGTGACGTCACGTTATGTAACCACCAAGCTGCCACTTTGTTCATCTTCATCAAATCAACCAACAATGAACAGACAGGAAATGACCAGCTTCCTTGCACATCAAAGCCATGTATATGGAAGGTTTCAAGTAAGTGAAAGCAAGAACCAGCTGCCATTCAAGAACTGAAGTTTGAAAAGCATGTTACTTTATGGTAAAAAAAGGAAAGATTCGAAGGCTTCAACCAACACTGCTCCTATAAAGGAAGTGGGTGCTCCTCACAGACAACAACACAGTGCTAATTTGAAACTAATTTTTGAAAAAATAAAAAACACAGAAGAAAAAAAAAGGAAAAAAATTTGGCTCTCTTGTTATCATTCCACATGACCTTCCGGAAAATTCAATGCCTCTGGATGAAACTGAAAGCTCTGACAATGACATACCATCTAAATGGGATATACTCAGATCACTATCCCCTACTAAGTGTGCTCCACTTTCAATGACAGACATAAAAGAAAAAGTACTTAGATCTCTCTCTGTCAAGGAAAGAAATGAAAGTGCTCAAGAAACAAAAGGCCAGCATGAAGCAAGAACTTGGTTTTGATGTACGGAAAACATGCATAACAGCTTCACAGTGCAAGAGATGTTTATTGAAGCCAACAACAAGCCCAGCAAAAGCTATTTCAGAGGTGCTTTTTTATACCAAGCAAGTACAAACTAAAGCCATAAGAGAAGGTATTGAATCAAAATCCAAAATCATCCATGTATTTGAAAATGAGACTGACCGGAAGGTACACAAGTCCGGCTTTTTATCTGAAACACATCTATTTTTAGGTGCAGTCCTGGTGGAGTCATAAATGACAGCGAGATTGTTGAAATAAAGAAGGTTATATTGAGGAAAGGAGAGTCATTTGATGATGGGATGTGCAGGCTTGGAATTTACAAGAAGCTGCATGACAAGAAAAATGGCAGTGAACTAATTATCAACAAGAATCATAGATATCACACCAGATGCAACAACTGCTTTTTCGCTCTGGGAGAAACACTTGCCATTTTATTGTTTCAAGTGAAAAGGGGAGTCACCTAGAATCTGTTCCTTTTGACTCTGTATTTTAGGAGAGTGTGCTTCCAAAACTTGAGCAATTCTATTTTGATGTCATTTATTTTGTATTTGTTTATGAATTATTAATGAGTCTGTGGAAATGTATTTCCTGAAATTATTAATTTATCCACGAATTTTTCGAGGACAATCAAGGTAGAACAAGGACCTGCAGTTTCCAAAGCTAACATAGAACTATAAGCAAAAAAAAAAAAAAAACAGTACTGCTTATTAAAATACCATTTGAAGGGGTGTGTGAATAAAGCTTGAAGTGACTTTTGACCTCTCGTTGAATTACTTTCTAATATGTCATACCAGAAACTCATAAGGGGTTGAACAACCCCTTGTGAGTTTCTGGTCATACTTGAATGTTTCCATTAAATTGCAGTTTTTAAGTCATAACTGTGTAGGCCATGGGTTCAACAGTTTATAAATGTAAAGTATTCTTTGCCCTCATGAAATAAATTTTATTAGTATTATTACTATTTAGTAGTAATAATAATAATAATAATAATAATAATAATAATAATAATAATGGTTTATTAAAATACACATGGTTGTATAAAAACTATGAATTACAATGTGCTTACAAAAGTTACAACTAAAAATAAAATTACATTTGTTTCAGAGGGACTGGGATTACAGGCTATTTATAAGTTATTTACAATTCAGATATAGATAAAGGACAATACTAGAGATAACTTGACTCGTAAGATTAATTAATTTTCGCCATTGCTGGGAAAAAACTAGAACCGAAGCGTTTTGTTCCGTACTGGAAGAGGCTAGAACTGCTACTGTTCCTAAGATGGTAAGAGTGGCATTCCGATTGCACGGGAGGGAGAAGGCGGTGCAGCACCGGTAGGCCCAATAAAAACTATAACACGGTGTGAAATTCTGTGTCCACCCGCGCAGATAGGAGATTTGACCATTACAACCGAACACGTTCTCGGACAACTATCTGGAGGTCAGGGTATACGATTCGCAGAGCCCTCTTCTGGATAGCTTCAAGCTGGTCAATGAGGAAGCGGGGAAGGGAAGTAGCCCAGACGACAGAGCGAACCAGGGCGCTATAGATGGTGACAAGGTCCATTGGAGGGACCCCAGCGCGCTTCAAGACCCTGAGAATGTGCAGTCGCTTAGACGCCTTGGAAACGATTTCGTTGGTGTTATTATTCCACTTTAGGGTGTCACACAGGGTCAGACCAAGTACTTTGTAAGATGACACTGCCTCTAGAGGTAAATTATTGATGGAGAGCACTGGAGAGACAGGCTTGATTTTGAGTGGACAAATGGTCATGATCTTATATTTTTTAGGGTTGAGGTTCATGTTGTTCTGCTGGGCCCATTGCGAAAAGCAGTTGATGTCGTTCTGCAGAGATGACGCCTCCCCCAAACTGGTGACCTCAGATATTGTAACGTCATCGACGTACTTCCAGTGGCTCGAGCGGAGGAGGAGTGAATAGCCAGGTCATTAATCATTATCAAAAAGAGGATTGGACCCAGTTTGGTGCCCTGGGGGACACCAGTGGTATCAGCATTAGTATAATTATCATTATTAGTATAATTATCATTATTGTTGTTATAAGAAGGTATAAGGGCAGTGTGAGGGAGATTCTTGCATTTCATGAGAAGTAACTGGGGTAATTTTTCCCAAGCATTCCTTTATTTGAGTTAATAATGTGAATGACATTGTCTGTGATGCTGAATCATTACTTAATTGGTCATTTAGTTACACCCTAATAAATAGAATAGGCCTGCATGTAATCCTGGATTGGCCTATTCTGTAACCTGGGCTATCAGATATAGTAACACCCATATCAAACAAACTTACTATAAGAAAATGGACCTACGCTAATGACACTTCAGGGATGTACAAAAATACACTGACAAAAACAGTACTTTTTGATGCCTATCGAGTGGAGTTTAATATACACTGACCTAAGTAGTATACTGTCTATCATTAGAATTAAGCCCCGTTGGTGGATAGCTAAGGATAGTCGCTTTAGGGATAGTCTATGACGTCACCCATTGTTTTTAACCTAGTAAAAGTTGCATTCCTCCATACTAATTAAGTGCTTAGTCAGACTTGTCTTCCTGCATACTAATTCGGTATAGGTTTACCAATGAGGTCTCTCTACTACAATAGGCAGAATAGGCTTGCCTCGACTTGCCCATCTATTAAAAGGAAAATAGGAATAAGAGAAGCGATCACCTAGCAACGCGAGAAACGGCTTTCTACATCTTATTTAGCGCTAAAACTCGGATATATAAACAAAACACATACAGAAAGTGGTGCTGAAAAGTCTTTATTTCAATTTAGCTTACGTCTTAACTTCTTGTTCAGCGCTAAAAACTCGGATATATCAACAAAACATACACAAAGTGGAGCTGAAAACTCTCTATTTCAAGTTTGTCTGACTATTAGAGAACCGTTTTCTCAAATCTATCTCGAGGAAATGAAAAACTATAGGTGGTTTTCATGCAATCTCGGGAGACACAAATAACAATGGTGAAATGAACAAATGCTGGTGGACAAACAAAGCGAGCTAATGAGCGATCTTTTGTTTACCGTCCACCAGCATGGCGGCGATGACGTAACGTGAAAACCACCTATTACGGTCTCAGCGTTTCACGCACCGGTAGTCAGTGAATTATGCGAGCTTGCAAGCCTAAAGTTGAATACAAAGTAGCTCTACAGGAAGAACCCCAAGGGAGCATCTTTACGTATTAGTATAAACACAATAACTTAACAAGGATCAATTGAAACACGCGACTATTAAATATAGCAATAAAACCAGACAAGAGATACCGTTTTCAAAATTTTATTAAAAACTAATGACAAAAAGAGTCAAATTCACAGCGTTTTGTAAGGGATTAATTAATTAATCTTCATCTTCTTCGCCCATGGAGTACTTGTAAGGTTTGAATTTCTTATGCCGACGTGTCCTCAGCTCTTTGCCATGAGCCTTATGATCATCCAAATAATTTACAAATTGAATCCGACGCCTGTTGCGCTTCGGGCCTTGTTGTGATGGGGTTTCTACGGTGGGAGGAGGGGTCAGGAAAGCAGGATTTAGGAGTGGTGGAGGGTGAGGCTTTCTTTGGCAGGTTTTTGAGAGATAGCCTCTTGTGTTAATTCAGGTGTTACATTAAAGGGGTTGAGGGGAAAGGAGAATGCTGCCGTTGCTGGTGAGAAACTGCTCTGCGAGAGGCAAAAGCTTATTTTATTAGCGGACAAGTCCGAGTTCGGCTGGGTTACAGTTGAGGAATATAAACAGCACGATCTGGCTGATGATTCGGAGGACGAGAAAAGAATTCACAGTGCAGAAAGACGTGCCCGTGTAGCGCTCCAGTCCCGTAAAAAGAGGAAGACTGCCTTTTCGACTTCTAATGACAGATCCTCGTCCGTTGGAACCCCGGCATCCACCTCAAGTTCGCAGTTTCAACATCAGCCTCTTATGTTGAACGTTCCTGGTTTCCCTTCTCGTCGAACCAATACCGGCACCTGTTTTGCCTGTGGAAAGCCAGGTCATTGGCGCTCCTGTTGCCCAACGATGGCCAAGCAAACATCACAAACTCCTAAATGACTAGCCGACGAAGGATAACAATCAGGTGCAATCTTTTCCAATTTCCTTTGTAGTGATATGATTTTTGAGGCGGAAAGCCGTAATTCAGATCAGGAGTGTCTCGATGTCGCATCAGTTTCTTCCGACGTCACCCCGCTAGTTTTAGGCGCGGTTAAGGACTCTGAGAGTACTGTTGATATTTCTATTCAACCTTCAGTTCGGGGAAGACTTTTCAAGTGTATCGATTTCTGGCGTACTTTGCCAGCTTCTCAGTTCATTTTGAATGTTATTAGCCAAGGTTACAAAATTCCGTTCTTCCAGCTACCCACACCCTTTTACAAAGCCAACAATGCTTCCGCACGCAGTAACAGTTCTTTTGTTACCATAGCTGTTAATGAGCTTCTTAGTCTCAACCTCATCGACGACGTTTTTTGTGCTCCTGATATTATTAACCCGCTTTCGGTTTCGACCCAACGCTCCGGCAAACAAAGGCTTATCCTGGATCTTAGACACGTTAACACTTTTATCACTTTTTAACACTTTTTTCAGCCAGGCTGTGAGGCCGTTGATGCCTTTGCTCAAAATTCGGGTTACGACAACAACTGGCTTTGTCCACCGGTTTGCCTCATTGTCACAGTCATCAAGCATATGGAGCTCTGCCGCCCCCAGGGAACCCTTGTTCTTCCCCTATGGAAGTCAGCTTTTTTCTGGAATGTCTGTGCTAGAGATGGAGTGCACTGGGATAGTTTTGTTGTCGACTGGCTTTATTTGCCTAAGTTCCAGGGGTTATTCGTTCCAGGGACAGCCCGTAATTCCCTTTTCGGTTCCAGGCCTATAGATTTTGACGTCGTTGCGCTTCGAGTTAATTTTCGGCGCCCCAGACCTCCATCCTCCCTGGCGGGCTTTTGCTCTATGCCTGACGGAAAGTGCTATTTGTGCTCCCAAGCGTTTGTTGTGCTTATATCTTCAGGTTTGGACCCATTAGTTTTTTTTTGCATGTAGCTTCTCGCCAAGAATTAGGAGGAATGATATTTTCTTTCACGAGGGTTTCATGGTCATCAAGGTTCTCAAAAGTAAGAACGACCAAGTCTGTAAGGGCGATGAAGTGATTTTTCGGAAATTTCTGGCCCTGCTTGTCCTGTCAAGCTTCTTAAGACGTACCTTGCACATTTTTCCATCCCCTCTAGCTCCAGGGATCTCACTTTTAGACCCATCTCTAGGGGGAAGAACTCCTTTAAGTTAGTTTGCCAGGACAAGCCTATCAGCTATACCACAATTAGGGAGGCTTTTTGCAAAGACCTGAGAAGCGTCGGGGTTGACCCTTCCTCTTTTGGTTTTCATTCCCTGCGTTCGGGAGGGGCCACTTCCGCTGCTAATAATGGGGTTAGTGACAGGGTGTTTCAGAGGCACGGCCGCTGGAAGTCCGTAGGCTACGTAAGGACTCTTCCGTTATAATTCAATTGAAGAGTGATTCTTGATCCATTTGTGTGCTTTATGTTTTTACCATTTTCGCTTACTGTTCACGTTTCAGTACTGGGTTAGCTATTTCGTATGGATCCCGGCTAAGGGCAAATACCAAAATATATATTGCTCCTGTAGTGATAAAAAGTGGATGCGTGGTATAGTAGACACTTTGTCCACCAAAATCCCATAAAATGGTATAAATTTCTTCATCATCTTGCGCGTTTTCATCCTCTTTTAGTAACTTTTTAATCAATGCTGCGACCTCACCTGGTATCCTGGGCGACTCGATAGGGACGTGTACTTCCTTTTTCAGAGTGGGATCAGAGGAGATTTTAGGAATGACTCCTGGATCGCCTAGCTCCTCAGAAGGCAACTGATTTGAGTCATTAGAGACAGGCACTGCTGAAGATCTCGATTCTTCCATTTTTATTTTTTCCACTGCAAAACCGCTCTGCTCTTCCTTTAAATCGTCAGCAACCAAACGAGCCGCGTGTTGCTCAAAGGAAATGGCTTTTATAGCACCTGAGTTATCCCCTACCTTCCAAATCTCAGTTGAGACTTTGATGTGTGAGGGGTCAACATCTATCCCTATGGTGCTGTCTTCAGCAGGATTGAAAGGTTTCCCCATTAGCGAATTTTTCAGGCTGGTCTTGCCAGAGCAGTCTTGTCCAATCAACATTATTGGAACCCTCTTGACAGATGCCTTCCCGTCATCGAGGGCTTTTTCGTAAGCTTCCAAAGCCAAGCGTCCACGTAACTTGATCTCTACAGGAATCTCTGTAGGAACAAAGGACTGCATTACAATTTATATTGCACTTAAAAAAGTAGGGTAACTGACAAGTTTTTTAAGAAAAGCAATATTAGAAAAGCCTTTCACTGAATTAATACCTGCATAGCAAATGTTAGCCTGTAAGGAAATCTCTAGCCAAGGAGAGTAAGCAAATAGAAGGTGAACCCCAATCTTATCTGTCCTTTATTTGAGGTGGCTTATATTACAATTAAGTAATGGTCCGCGTAAGAAATAGGCAAAAGAACAATAGGCCAAAAAGGTTCTGGCTAAACCTAGCGTTAAATGAAAGAATGTCATAGCGTCTGCTGTTAAAATACCCCTTGAACAAGTCGCGAACAGTCCCCTTAATTGAAAAGACAGTTATTAACTAATTTATTAAATATGTTCCTCTCGTCTTTCGGAGAGCGGCTACCATCTGAGTCTTTCGATGATAGCATCTCTTGTTAAACTGCGATCAGGCGGTCCTTCTTCCCTTTTTGTTTGGGAGACGAGGGGAAAAGGTTTTCTTGAGAACAATGCGGCTAGCTTTTCTTTGCAAACGTTCGATCCTTTGCTGGTTCTCAAGACCACAGCCATGCCAGGTGACGTCACCGTACTCCAGAAGCGGTAACACCATGGATTTATACAAACGATTAGCAGATTCAGTTGTAAATAGAAGTCTCACTCTTGAAAGAATTCCTAGTTTCTGGGATACCTTGGATGCTACAGAATCGATATGTTCGTTAAATGAGAGATGGTTGTCGAGCATAACACCCAGATACTTGAAAAATGTGGAGAACTTAATAGGAGTCTCGTCCAGAGTCAGTGAAAAGTCCGCAGTTCCTGATATCTTCAGTCGTTGTCTGGTGCCATAAAGTAAACACTTCGGGTTTTTTTTTCAGATTCATAAAAAGTTTTTCTTTAAAGCCAATGAGAAATATTCGCCAGATCCAGGGACAATTTCATTTAAATTTCAGAGATGGAATTACCAGAGAAGTAGATAACAGTGACATCATCATACATCAATATTTGTGAAATTTGAAGGCAACATGGAAGGTCATTAACAATATAAAAAGTAACGGACTAAGAATGCTTCCCTGAGGGACTCCAGTTAGGACAGGCTGGGGATCAGAGCATGTACCATCTACGCACACGACTTGATTTCTGTTAGATAGGTAATCAGAGAACCAGGCTAAATTGATGTCCTTAACTTTATAACTCTTCAATTTCCGCAGAAGGCTCTGGTGGGGTAGGGTATCAAAAGCTTTCCTTAAGGACCTCCTTAAGTTGATAAATAAGGAACCAGACATATTTCAGGGTCGTAACGAGAGGTATATTTTCTCCCCACTGATCCCACATTTTGGCCTTAAATTTTGATCCCTGATCCCATGAAAATGTTTCGATCCCTGGATTCAATCTGGGTTGGATTAGCTGCATATCATATAAAAACTAGACGCCTCGCCTCTAGTCGTGCATCACCATCTAACTATCCTTGTAGACTACTCATACTAGTGTTCGTAGCTTCAGGGGTGTAGCCTGAGATCTTGAAGGTGTACGATGAGTTGATGAAGATTTGCAGCACCGAAGGTGGCTCAGCCTAGGGGAGTCAGGGGGCATGCTCCCGCAGAAAATATTTAAATTTAGGGTCTCGGAAATGCTATTTCCAGCATTTTCTGCAGTGATTTTTTTGAAGTAGTCAGTTATTGTTACTTTACCCATCTCTGGAGTGACACCCTCAGAATTGTGGAATAATAAAAGGATAACAGAGTAATCACTGACACAAAGTCACCAATATAGTGCGAACGAGGTAAGTGTCATCCCGAATTTCAAGTGATAAAATGCTTTTTCCGAAAAAAATTTTATTTTCTTATCTTAGCTGTACGAGTGCATGCGCGTATATTGACGCTACGCTACTCAGTAGCTCCTGCTCCAGCAAAATGAGATCCAAAGATATCTCTTTGGCCAAAGATCGGCTTGACAAGCGATCAAAGTAGCTACAGAATTCTGCAAGACCAGGATGATAAGAGAATCCCCATCGCAACAGGCGTATGAACAAAAACGGCTATACCGAGGACTTTCGTTATATAGAGGCTCGTCAAATCGAGGTTCAATCAATAAAGCTTTATTAACGGTATCACTTCATTAAAAATGCTCTTCCAGTGAGCCGTTTACAAAACAAAATTTTCAGAGAAACTACATTAATGCTAAAATATATCTATATATTAAGAAAATCTATCCTATAATTAATCACACAAAAATCAATCAACCTTAAAGGTACATTAAATAACTAAAATAAAATTCTATCTCAACTCTCTCAAGGCAATACCTGGTTCATGACAAAGATAAGGCAGACTTGAAAGAGTTGAGATTTATCTCGTCTTTAAGCACATTTTCTAGGCCATTCCACATGACTGCTCCCCTATAGCTAAAGGCCTTCTTAGCAGCTTCAGTACGGGGCCTTGGTACAAAAATGTTGTTTGAGGCACCTCGCACGTTGTAGGAATGAACCCCAGAGGTTGGTTTAAACATGTTCTTTAAACTCTCAGGGTAAAGGTTATTTAGAGATTTAAAAATACTTATTGCGAGCTGTTTAGAGCGTCTTTGCTCAAGGGCATCCCATCTCAAGTCTTGGAGGATATCCGCAGATCTTGTATTATAATCACTAAATGTTATAATTCTCCCAGCCCTATTTTGCAATCTCTAGAGTCGGTCACAAAGACCTTTTCCCATACATCCCCAGACTTCGGAGCAATAATCAAAATAAGGAGAGACTAAGGCATCATACATTTTCAGTAGGGTTTGGCGAGGCACCAGGGAACGAATACGTTTTAAGGCCCCTATACCTGCAGATACCTTTTTACAGATGGTATCTACATGGGATTGCCACCCCAATGCCTCGTCAACCTCTATTCCCAGATACCTATAATTAGTCACCCGAGTCAATTGTTGACTATTAACAGTAACGTTTAAGTCACCATTTAAATGCCTTAGTCGGTAGTGGCTTCCAATTATCATATATTTTGTCTTTTTGACATTTAATGTGAGTTTATTGGATTTCAGCCACTTTTGAACCTCATCCAAGTCTTTGTTTAACTTTTCTTCAAGAGTTGCGGGGTCATAGGCGGAAAGGGTAAGCGAGGTGTCATCAGCATACATGAGTGCAGATGATGACAGCTCGCATTCTTGTAGGTCATTTATATAAATGAGAAACAACAAGGGTCCAAGTACAGAACCTTGTGGGACCCCATAACTAACAGGAAGATAGTCTGGTAGAGTTCCATTTACATAAGTACTCTGAAAGCGATTTGATAGGTATGATTTGAACCACTGAACTGCATGCGGGTCGAGCCCATAAAGTTGCAGTTTTTTTAACAATATGCTGTAGTCAACCGTATCAAAGGCTTTCTTAAGATCCAGAAAGAGTACACTGTTAATTAGGCCATCATCAATATTTAAATACCAGTTGTTAGTAGCTTCAAGCAAGGCAGTCAAAGTAGAATGCATCGGTCTGAAGCCATGCTGAGAAACTGTCGGCAAATTATTGTGAGTTAGGTACTCATAAAGTTGTTTGAAGATAACCTTTTCGATTATTTTACTGACAACTGGGAGAATAGATATAGGTCTATAGTTATTAGGATCAGACTTAATATCCTCCTTATATAAAGGTAATACTTTGGAAATTTTCCACTCGTCTAGAAAATACCCACACCTAATGGATAGGTTAATTACATGGGTGAGAGAAGGCACGATTTCAGGACAAGCTTCTTTCAAAAGCCTTGCAGAAATACCATCTAGGCCTGTAGCCTTGTCGACTCGAAGCGAACTCACTAAACGGTGAACAACACCGCAGTGAGTCTCGTTCAGGGTAAAACTAGAATTTGATGGCGTAATGTAGTCCTCAAAACAAACACTAGTTTTGGGAATATTATCGGCTAACCTAGGCCCAATGTGAGTAAAGTGATAATTAAGAGCATTAGAGATTTCTAATGGGGTAGTACTTGAGTTATCTCCAACATCTACTCTATTTATTTCAGTTGCTGGTAAATTTCGGCCCAATATTGAGTTTACTCCTTTCCATGATTTCTTAATATCCCCTAGATTTGTTTCGAAATACCTTTTATAGTAGTTAGTCTTTGCTTTCCTGATATTAGCATTTACATTGTTTCGAGCAATCTTATACTCGGTCCAAAGAGCATCTGAATTGTTGATAATTGCAGCCCTTTTCAGTTTGTCCCTCTCAAACATCATCCTTTTTATCTCTGGTGTAAGCCATGGAGCATAATTATTTCTTACTTTCCTTTTACGTTTTGGTGCATGGAAGTCACAAATTTCTAAAAACAGACGTGACCAAATTTCCCAGGCACGATTTGGATTATCTTCCAGATGAACTAGGTGCCAAGGTGCTAGGTTAAGGTCAGCGTGGAATGAATTAGCATCAAAGTTCCTAAACTGTCGCGACTCCACGATCTTTGGTTTCCCTTTGGGAATACAAAATTTTCTAACTCAAATTTTGTTCCACTGTAGGTGCGACCTTAGCATTTTGCCATTCGTTTAGAAAACGTGCAGACGATAAGGACAGGTTAATTAGGTGCGTGATGGAACGCGGCGAGCGGTTACAGCGGCACTGTCTTTTAATAGCCGAGCAGGTATCATGTCTGAACCTGCTGCTTTGTTCAGTTTAATCATGCGTAACTGCCGGTAAGAGAACCTCTCTGAAACCGATTGAAATCTGAAAATATGATCCGTAAATGGAGATGTCAACCTATTGTCTTTAACAGTAGAGGGAGAGGTGTTATTAGCCACACGTTTTTGGACTATTGTGGTGAAATAACGATTAAGGGAATTTGCAATTTGAAACTTGCAACTTAATTTATCGTCTCACCGTCAACTTTAAGCGAGTGCAGTGGTGAATTATCAGTGTTCTTGTTTAGAAAATCTTTTTGGCCGTTTTCCAGATCAGAAACGTTTTGGGTTATTCATATTCTCCTCAAGCAATTTCTGGTGGTAGTGCCCCCTCTCAAATTAAATTTTGTTAGTCACGGAATTACGAAACCGGCGGTTTGAACTCCAGTACAATTCATTGTTTGTTTGGCGGGCTTTTTCAGAAGATAATCTCTCTGGCGCATCAAGGATTTGATTTCACTTGGTATTAACGGGTATATCCGGCCTTGTGCCTTTCTAATGACAAAAGGGTGTGTTTATCGCACTACATTTAAAAACACGGCTGGTGTTGTGATTTGAAGAATAATGTCTTACATGCACTTATAGAATTAATGATGCCAGCAAAAAACTGTTGGAACATGAAGTAAACTTTTAAAATATAAAAAGGGTGGTCCATGGAACGGGGAGTTTATATACCTCCCTTTACAAAGGCTGTATAAAATGCATCCTTTACTTATTACTGTAGTGAAACAATGCCAATATAGGTAACAAAGTGATAGTTTTCATGTATAGGAAGGCCTAGTTTAGAAACATGAAAAGCCAAAGTTGTTTATTGGCTTAAAAGATGTATTTGTAGCCCCTTCATACGTAATAACACAATAAGTCGCTGAAACTGCGCGTACTGTACTCACCAACTGTGTCTGGAAAATGCGCGGTTATGATTTGAATAGCATCCTTGCATTTGGTCTTCTCCAACACTACTACAAAATCGGTGAGAGTCATGTCAGGAAACCGATGCGTCAGCCATTGTAACACTTCCTTTGTGGGGCTCTTTCCCGGTGCTTTTATCTTGAGCCCCTCATCAAATTCTTTACACACAGAAGATTGGATGTTGAGTTGACCGGCCAACCTGCGCCACTCACTAGTTGTTATACTCCATAGGCTTTGCATAGAACTGAGCTCGTCAGCTATCATTGTTATGATTTCTGGTTGAAGTGTCACAAGATCCTTTATCAAGACCTTATCTGGAGGAAAACAAATATTGAGTAATGACTAAAATCACGTAATACAACTTGTTAAATGAAACGTATGATGAAAGAGTTAACACAAAACAAATAAATTCACTGAATTAATTGTTTGGTGGATTCACAGGCAGCCCAAGCTCAGTATGAGACTTTAACGGTCTCATATTGCGTAGTCCTCAAAATAGCCGTGAACATACGCCACTTCCACATTTCAAATAATGCACCTTATCTGCCCCGCAAATTTTTGCATAACCTTAATTTTTCATTTCTCCTGCGTATTACAGCCGTCCCAAGAGAAATTGAAACAATGCTTATGCAAATTTTAGGGGGCAAATGGGAAATGTGGACATGGCTAATAAAGGATTTGTATGAGAATTCAGGAAAAGATTCAAGAAGATCAATACTCGCTGGGATTTTCAATAAAATACACTTACTTATTTACTTGGCTTTATCTTGCTTCCTGTTTGGTTGTTTTCCCGATCACAAATTAAGTAAATAAGGGAAAGTGTATTTTATTGAAAATCCCAGCGAGCATTTATCGTTCTTGAAGTGAATTCGGGCTGGGAGGGGGGGGGGGGGCTCCCTTATACAAGCTATATAGGTATGTGCCGCCCCATCGGGTCGGGTTTTTGCGACGTTTTGGTCTGAAAACGGGTATATACCGTTGCCCATTTTGGTCTGGAATCGGGTGTGGTTTTCGAGAGTACTATGGGAGCGTATGAACGTGTTGATCCTTTCAATTCCAAATTAATAAGAACAAAGTAGAAATATGCGAATTTGAAATGCATCCGAAGAATTTTTTTTGTTTACGCACTGAATCTAAGTAATGATGGAGTAATTTTTGCCTAAAGGCCAGGTCTGAGAACAGGTCTGGAAAATGATATTTTTTGGTCTGAAATAGGGTCAGGGTTAGGAGAACCGGACGGCACACCCCCACCAAGAATTCCCAGGAGTACCCCTCCGCCCCGGGATTCATACTTCATCACTCTTATTCCAACTCTTAATTTGTCAAATGTTGGCGATTTTTTTCAGGAGTTGATTTGTAAAGCCTGGGGCCCGTTTCTCGAAAGTCCCGGTAATTAACGGGCCCGGTAAGCTGTCTCCGTTTACAGTAAAGATCGAGGTTTCAATAGTTTTGCATCTCACATGATCAAACTGTCAGTTAATGAAACTAAATGGAGTAGTTTGCTAGCCAGGACCCGCGCTCTTATTCTTTATATTTCGATTTGAATATTTGATTTCGGGCCCGTAAAGTTACCGGGACTTTCGAGAAACGGGCCCCTAGTTTCCATATGATGGTCCGGATCGTCCTGATCGGCCCGGACGACTGGGACGATTGGTACAGTATGTGGTCCTTGGTCCGGACGAAAAAGACGTAAATGAGTATTTGTTACCGTAGAAGAGGAGTAGTCAGAACTGAAATTTGTCCTGTAAGTTGCCGTAACATTTAACTAACTTGTGACAAAACGACAGCTTCTGAGCTTTGCCGAAAATCCTGCATTATTGAAAATGACCGTTCCGTTTGAAGGCCTCTGGTCCGGCCACTTTGGCCACTTTTTAAGTCGGCATGCAAAATGTACGCAAAAAGAAACGTTCCAAGCACCAACTGATATAAATTCCTGTGTATTTTCTATAGGCATCATTTTAACTTTGAAACCAAAATGAAATTTCTGTGTAATGAGCTATAGTTCGGTCAGCCTTGGTCTCATGAAGAATTGTTATTTTTGCTTCTGTGCGAATGTGTGTCGTGCAGTTACGACGCGACGGCAGCGAAATCGCCGCGACAATGTTAAATGAACTCAATCAAAGTTTAGAGAGAAAGAAACATTTAAATTGTCGTCGCTTGTTAACGGCCTCAAAAAACAACTAGGAACGGCAGAGAAATCCGACCGGAAAGCGTGCGTCATCATGTACGAGCAGTCCGTGTCATCCGTG